TCAGCAGAAGGAGAGAAGATTAAAATACAAGTCATTTTTAGATTTCACAGGCCTTGATTTGCAGCTGTTCTGGAATTTTTATAATAAACTTCACCAAAAGTAAGTCACTTCTTTATAGTGCAGTGAGGCACTAATCTGAGTGTGGATGTATAAATAAAGTATGTTTAGTTGAGTTTAGTTGGAGCAGTTTCTTCTTCCTAAACGACATCATTTATATCAATAACATTTTCCTGCTGCTGCCATATGGGTTTTTAAATGTAATGTTATATAGAAGCTGGAGATGTAGATTAATTTAGCTGGTAGCTTTGCTTTTTTTGGCTGTGTGCTCTCTGCTCAGTGGGTTTTATATGTCTGAGGTAGCAGCTTTCACAACATTATTTGGTGCAAAAGAGCTTCTTTTCTAGTTTTTGCTTCTGTTTGTTTTATGCTTTCTTACAGCCCAAGGGAAGAATGTATCTTTGCTCAGACACTGCTATTGCAGCTTCTCCAGAGCTGCTTCTCAGTCCTTACTGGAGACAATAAAACTGCTAAACCTCAAGAAACTTCTCAGAGCAAAACATCTGGTCACACAGAAGCTGCAGAAGAGCTTTACAGACATTTGTGTGAAGGTAATGTATTGAATACATGAGCTGGTTTGTCTGTTCTGACTTCCAAGTGTGTTACAATAGTTAGAATTTGGGAAGAGATATTTATTCCTAGAGGCCAAGTCAGCTACTGTTCCTTTGTACCTTCTTCAGGTCAGGGTGTGCTAATTAGCCTATTACATGGAACTTTCTTTAACCTTATGAAACGGTTTTCTAGATGTTGATGTTGTGTTCTGGAAACAACTGCAATAGAAAACTTGTTTCAAACCTGTCACCTGCTGTAACCAGCAGGGAATGTGATCCATCAACTACAGTCTCACTGGAGTGCATTTATTTCTGATATGTCATATAAATATAAATGAGTACACAAGGAGCCTGTAAGGTTTACAGAAACACAGGGAAGATTCTGTGAAGTGAAGAGAATGGGAATTACACATTACATTTCATTGGAAGGAGGATGGTGCCTTCTTTATTCAAGTATAATATTTTTGTTACTTGCCTAACAGTCTCCTGAAGAGAAAGCTGGAGATAAAGCAGTTTAAATAGAATCTGTCACATCTTGAAAACTTGATGAGCTTTGATAGTTGTCAGGTCTTATGTAGCAGAATTAATTGACTCAAGGAATAAATGTAGCCTTAGAAAAATCCTTTCTGCTAGAAATCAAAAAGCCACCCCTCACTTTCTCTGTGTGTAATGGGGTTGTAGGGGCTTGAGGTTGTGTGAAATAAAGTGTTTCATTCAGTTATGCCCAGCATATTAGATGGAGTAGTGATTGGAACTTGTAATTTGGTTTCCTTTTTTTTTATGAGCAGTGGTGGATATGGGGGACAGTAACTTCATGCCAATGAAAATGCTAAAAGAGGAAGTCAAGAACACCTTGCTCAGTGGAGCAGCAATCTTCTTCCCAGACAGACAAGCCAGGAGACACCAGCTCTTCACCATGATGGTAAATCATTGCATGAGAAGCTGATTGTTCAGTACCTGCTTTCTTGATGCAGAGAACAGGAAAAAATTGAGCTTTTGTTGTCAAATAATGTAGACTTTGTCCCACTGAAGTAAAAATTTTCTTGATTTTTTTCCTCCCTCTGCCCTTTCCCCTCTCTCCCTCTGCCCTCTCCCCTCTCTCCCTCTCTGCAGCCTATCTAAAGAAAGAGGAGCTAACTCTGCCTTTCTTACCAAAAATGAATAATAAAATGCAGAAATTAGAATTCTTCTCACAGAGAAGGGAAACAAAACATATTCTAAAAAGAAATCTTTTTCCTTTTCTAGAAAAACATCACTGAGCAGGAGCATAAGCAATCAGTACATCTTGCCTTCAGATCCTTGTGTACCCACTTCAGGTAAGGGGTCTTGAAATGGAAAAGAATTGTCTGATACCCCACATCTGCCAAAAAGTTCATATTTAATCCCTTTTAGAAAAGTAATTTCCTTGGAAAATAATAATCTAAAAATAATCAACTGACTTTGCTTTAGAAAGCAGAATATCATTATTTAAAACACTTAATAACTGAATAGTTATATAAAAAGTTGTCCAAGGATTACAGTTGGTGCTGGAATGACAATGCACTGCTCCCAGGCTTCTCTTAGGCTGTTTTCCAATTTTTTAAGTCATTGTTTATCCATGGTGATTGCTAGTATTGATTTAATTTAGTTTGGAGCCATCAGAACACAAACACTTTTGGTTTTCCTAGCAATGATGCAGTAAAATCTCTGCAGATTTGTCACAAGGGTAACTCAAGTTTTCTTTTGGAACTGTGATCCTTGTTGATGCTTAGTAAGAAGACATTTGTTTTGTAGTGATCAAGATCCAGGTGGACTCTTATTATTACCAGAGAAAGGAATTTCTGCAGATTTTGGCACAAGTGAGGTGCTCTCAGTCATGGATACCCTTCTGCTAGTGGCAGCAAGAGAGGTAACTGTCCTTGCATTGTTCCTCTTCCTATTTTGCTGTGATTTTGTGTGCGTTCAAACACTGAGATATTGCTGAAGAACTGGCTTTCCTGTCCTTCTGGATGAAACTAGTCATAGCTCCTCAAGTCTGTAGGATTAGGCTTCCCAACCAAATGAATATTTTCTTTGAAGTATGAATATTTCATAATAGTTGAGTAAGAATGGAAGTATGAATATTTCATAATAGTTGAGTAAGTAATGTAGAAGGTGAAGATGAGCATTGAAAAGACTTTGTGGCATCCTGTCAACACTAAGGAGTAATCATCCCATGCTGAGAGGTCAGGATTGGTCATGTCACTGAGGGAGGTGTAAGTGGAGCTTGGGTATTTACATATGTAAGAGACTGGAACAGGCTGACCAGGGAATTTGTGGCTGTCCCATCCCTGGCAGTGTTGAAGGGCAGGTTGGATGGGGCTTGGAGCAGCCTGGGCTGGTGGGAGGTGTCCCTGCCCATGCAGGGGGATTGGAACTGGATGATCTTTGAGGTCCCTTCCAACTCAAACCATCCAGTGATTCTATGATAGGCAAAAAAGATGTGCTGGGAACATTGAGTGACTCCTGTAGCTTCAAATTGTGATTTATCCAAATAAAATGCATTAGGTGCTTTGTGGTGTGATACAGTGTTGTCAGTTGATTTCATCTTTCTTGTGGGGTGAGTGGCATGATAATGTCCATCACAGTTTCCTTAGTACATGTGATGTCATTCTGCTGCAGAGGAGGATGTCCTTTTGTTACATTCTTTATTTTACAGTGTGAAATGATGATGCTGGATGTTGCACAGCAAGAGAGTGGCACAGTCTTGTCTTCCTTATTCTGGTCTGTCCAAGGTAGCCTCCTTTCCTGGTGCTACCTGCAACTGAAGGGTGGGGATGATTCCACCAAGGATCTTGCAGTGGAAATACTCAAAAACTGTAAGTGCTGGGATTGAATGCAGAGTTAAGTGTGGTGTAATACAGGGCTTTAAAATGAGATCTTGCAAATTCCAGTATAATAAGAGTTCACCAGTGGTTGCCTGAGGCATGCCCAGAACTGCCATGGTATTTCTAATCTCTGTTGGAAGGAATTTATAGGCATATTGAGCAAATTCTGGTAATACTGATCATTTTAGGTTGGGAGAATCTTCAGAAAACATTGAAGTAAGTTTTGGGGATCAAATACTGGAAAACCAAAAACAACAGAAAGAACAAACAACAGTTACAGACTTTCATTTGAATATTTTGGTTTCTTTAGATGGCCCTTATTTTGATAATTCCTGTGTGCTGATATGTATTTTCCTAGATGTTTGTGGTAGAAAGAAACTTACTGAAGAAGCTGGGAAGTTTGGGGACAGTGTTTTGGCCTTTTTGATTTTCTTATCAATGCAGCAGCTCAGTTTCCAGTAGTTAATTGGGCCAAGCAGTTAATGCAGGTGTAATTTTATATACTTTTTTTAATGTTATTTGTGTATAAATAAGCTTGTTGTGTTCCTGTCTGACATTTAAAAATGGAGAAAGGCTCTAGCTAAAAATGATTGGCCTCACTTCTTAAGCTGCATTTCTTAGTTGTGTAGGGAGGCTACAGGATACAAAGAGATTCTTGAAACAATCTTAGAGTGTTAGGTTCAATTACCTATCCCTCATCTTTCTTTTGTTTCATATCATTGGAGAGTTGGGTGGGGAGAAACTTGATGAAATTCAACAAGGGCAAGTGTAGAGTTTTGCATCTGGGGAAGGACAACCCCAGGTACCAGTACAGGTTGGGGGCTGAGCTGCTCGAGAGCAGGGTAGGTGAAATGACCTGGGGGTCCTGCTGGACAGGAGGATGCCCATGAGCCAGCAATGTGCCCTTGTGGCCAAGAAGGCCAATGGCATCTGGGGTGCATTAGAAAGGGGGTGGTTAGTAGGGCAAGGGAGGGTCTCCTCCCCCTCTATTCTGCCTTGGTGAGGCCACATCTGGAATGTTGTGTCCAGTTCTGGCCCCTCAGTTCCAGAAGGACAGGGAACTGCTTGAAAGAGTCCAGGGCAGAGCCACAGAGATGCTGGAGGGAGGGGAACATCTCCCTGCTGAGGAAAGGCTGAGGGAGCTGGGTCTGTTGGGCTTGGAGGAGACTGAGGGGCAACCTCAACAGTGTTTACAAATATGTAAAGGGTGAGTGTCAGGAGGATAGAGCCAGGCTTTGTTCAGTGATGTCCAGTGACAGGACAAGGGGCACTGGGTGCAAACTGGAGCCCAGGAGGTTCCATGTGAATCTCAGGAAGAACTTCTTTGCTGTGAGAGTGCCAGAGCCCTGGGCCAGGCTGCCCAGAGAGGCTGTGGAGTCTCCTTCTCTGGAGACATTCCAACCCCCCTGGCCACGTTCCTGTGTGATGTGCTCTGGGTGCACCTGCTCTGTCAGGGGGGTTGGACTGGGTGATCTTTCCAGGTCCCTCCCAACCCCTGGGATTCTGTGATTCTGATTCTGTGATTGATAAGCATGGCTTGTTTTCATAATAGAAATATCACAGAGAACTTCTCTGAGCTGTTCTCACTCCTGAGTATCCCTTTCCTGCTGTCTCTCCTTTTGCACATCACCATGCACTTCAGTGTTTGATACAGCAGGATGTGGTAGTAAATCCATAAGGTGGCTATTAAGGTGGTGTGTTTTTATTTCTCTTTAGATGTGAGCCAGTTCCTGTCAAATATCAGAACGATTTTGCAGTCACTTTTATCTCAATATAGTGGCAAAACAATAGTGGAAAAAATCAGTAACTCTGTCTTTGCTATGGCAACTCGTCAGCTGGTGAGTGACCCTTGGGGTTTTGTACCTGGCATCATGGCCCTGGTTACCTGCATTTTCCTGAGACCTGTGTGTTCTCCTAGGTCATCTTCTTGTTGGATTTTTGCACTTTAGACATTCCGTACTGTACTCTGCTACAGGAATTCAGCACTTTGATAGAACCACTGAAAAGCCTTTGTAGTGAGCCTCATAAGGTAAGTAAAGACACAGGTCTTGTGGAGTCCAGGGAAGCAAAATTGCAAGGAAGACATGGAAAACTCCCAGTTATTCTAGTGACACACATTTAAAAGGAGCTGGAAAGCTTCTAAAAGCATGGGATGTATGATGACATATTGAGTGAAGAACTAGAAGTGTATTTGTACTGATATGGAAGATGAGCCAAGTGACCTGAAAGTGCAACTGGAACAACCAGCCTAGAAGGTAGATAGGAAGGAGGGATCCTGAGGATGAAAGAAGGAAATATACTATTTGTGCTTCACATTTTGGGCTTCTTGCTTATGGTGATGGAAATAAAGTCTGGTTGTCTGCAGTGTAGATGTTTAAATCTTCACCAATCATCCAGACTATTTTTTTTTTTGATCATTGGAGACTTGTGGGCTCTTCTGGGCTGAGATTGTTCTCCTCCCCTGATAGACCAAATGAATTCTGCTATAGAAGTGCTTCTTCACCATGATGATCAAGGGTGTCCTTAGAATTAATTCAGGTGTAAATCAGTGCTGCAACCCCTTAAGTACTGCCTTGTGTGTATGTCTGGCAACTTGAAAGTGTAGCCATAAAAATCTAGTGTGGTAGTTTTACTCTTTTTTTGTTTCAGTGCTTTTTATGTTTTGGATCTCAAGGATGCATTTTTGTTCTGCAGATGGAAATGGAAAGCTGGCAGCAAGAGCAGCCAGTGGTGCTGAGGACATGGACAATGGAATCACCTCATAACTATGAGAATAATTGCCATGAAGTCTCAGTCTTCTTGTGTCATGGGGCAACATACTTTGAGGTGGAATTTGATGAAAAATGTGAAACTGAAAGGAGGTAATTTCATCTTGTGCTGTGCTGGATGCCAGTGTCTGTTTGTTTGCAGAGGGGCAATTCATGCTGTAATATGCAAGGAATACTTCTTGCACACCATTTCAATTTCTTCCTTGTCCTGAGTCATATCCAGTGTGTTATTTTGAATGACTTCTCATGCTGAAAGCCACTTCTGGCAAATGTACAGACCTGCTGTTGGTGTGGATTTTGTTTCCTTTGGCCTTCATCTGTTTCATAATAGGTTGCTGTGACCACCACAGTTTGTGTTTGTGGTATTTATCTTGCTTTCTTTAGGCAAAACTATTGGCTTGGTTTCTCTTGTTAACACATCAGGCTACAGCTTAGTTAAGGCATATGCCAGATATTAAAATGATCACCCACTACCAATGCTGAAGGGCTGGAAAATTTTTGCAGGAAAGGAGGTCTGTGTTTGCTGGGAAAAGTGCATTGAAATGTGAAACAAATTCCTGAGCATCCATGAAATGAAGTGAAGCAATACAGGTGTGGTTCAGAAAGATGGGACAGGATACTCTGAGATGCAGCACTTGTGAAAATCCAAAAAGCAAACATTTTCCCCCAGAGCTGAAGAAGTAAATTAGGAAGTAATGAATTGCAATTTTCACAGGTATGATTACCTGGAGTTTACTGATGCCAGAGGTGCAAAAACTCGTTACGATACCAAGGTTGGCACTGAGAAGTGGCCTAAGGTGAGCACCTTTCAAATTCTGAACCAAGTGAAATACCCAATCTTAGGAAATTATTATGATTCTTTTGGAAACCCTCTTGTCTAAAAGGATGTGTGTGCTTCCATGTGTGTGTGTTTATTCCCCCTCAGAGGTGAGTGAGGGGCACGAGGTGAGGAAGGAGCTCTGCAATGATGCAAAGGAGTGAATGAGTAAAGAATCCCTCTTTCTTGCTATTCTGAAAGGAGCAGTCAGTCAAAAAATAAGATCATGATAATGTTTAACTGCCAGTAACTGCAAGAGTAAAACTTAGTGGTTGACACTCTGCTCTTAAAATATTTTTACATCATGAGACAAGTGTCTTCCTGCAGCTACGCTCTTCCATCAATGACACCTCCTCAGATGGGATGCTTCTCTATTGTTTTATGGCCCCTACTTCTAAACCTCAGTTATCTGTACACTTCTCATTAAGCTAATGAGTAGAAATTTTACCTGCTTAGAATGGTGGGTTTTCTCAGTCAGATGGTGGGGGAACTTAGCTCAGTTATGGCTGGGACATAATACTGAAAAAGCTGAGTTGCTGAAGGAAATTCATGACCCTGAAACGTCTTCCTGTCATGTACACTTGGCAAAATGACTGTTTTGTTGCTCTGTAGAAAGTGACCTTTAAGGCTGGCCCACGGCTGCAGTTTCTCTTTCACTCTGACAGCAGTAATAATGAGTGGGGCTACAAGTTTTCTGTCACTGCCTACGGCCTCCCCGACGTCGCCGTCTCTTGGGGCTTGGATTTACAGCTTCTTGTGTCGCGGCTGATGGGGCGCTTGGCTTCCCGAAGCCTGGCGCTGAAATCCCTGCGAGGTGAGTGCACTTAGCAGCTCCAGAACTTGTGCTACCATCTAGAGAAAAGGTACAAGGACCTTACGTTTTGAAGACCCTGTGAAAAAATGGAAGTTCCTTCTGGTTTTCCCTCTGGGAGACTTGCTGTGTTGCTGCTTCACCGAGCTTGGTCCGTTTTTCGCAGCGAGCCCGACCGCTGCTCTGTGGGACTGTTCTGAGAATGTCCCAGGGATCACTGTGATTTTTCTAGTAGTCAGAAGCCAATATTAAGAAGAGATGGGCACCTGAAAGTAATCCAACATTGTAATTCCAACATTGATGGAAGTAATATCAGAGTTTGCCCAATCCAATCAAGTTTGGCTAATTCCAGCAGTTAAGCACATTTAGGGTTTGGGCCACTGAAGGTTTAGTAAAATACAAAATGTGAGGTCAGTGCCATATGAAAAAAAGAGAGAGTGAGTTCTTTATTCTTTTAATTCCAAAGCCAGGATTCTTCTAGCTAGCTTCCTGAATCTGAATTCATTGACTGCTTTGGAGAAATTTAACAAAATTAAAGTATTCTTGCTGCAATCAGTACTTACCTTGGAAAATTAGGCAGGTACTTACCTGGAAATATAGGGAACTAATTGAAGTGTTTTTATCACAAGAGTATTTTTTTCCCTTGTTAATATGAGCATGCTTACATATAGCAAATCATTAGCTCTTTAGTAGGAGATAAAGCTTTTAAACTCTCTTGCAAACTGAGGAATTTCTCTGCTTAGAAATACATTGAAAATGTTTAAAGTCCCTCCACAATGTAACATGATGTCACTATAAGATAAGGTCTTGATGCTGTTGTTAGAGAAAGAGTACATTGGTTTTCTGCACCACATTAAAGAAGCAGAGGTTAGAGAATGTTGTTGAATTACTTGTTCTGTCTATTTTCATTACCTTTTTTTTTTTCCCCTTCTGATTGATTGACATTTATCACTTTCATTGATCTGTACAAATGAATGAAAACATTCAGTAACCGATGTGTCTTTTCTGGATTTCTTGCAGATTTAGGCAGTGAGGCAGATTTGCCTCCTTTGAAAGTAACATCAGTTCTTAATTCTCCTCTGTGGAAACCTGTCTTCAGGCATCAGATGTGTCCTGAGGCACTCCTGGGAGCCAGGAAAAGCAGTAGACAGTACCAAGACAAAACAGAGGTACTTCCACCACTGCTTTGGTTTCATTGGCACAACATCCCTGTGTCACACAGTTTCATTCAGACTTAATTAGGTCTTAATTAGACTTGAGAGGTCCTTAAGCATAAGCTGTTGTGATGCTTCTGTCATACCTTGCACTGTTTAAGTCAAATAGAATCACAGAATCATATTAAGGAGAGAAGCTGTTGTGTTGTGCCCTTTGATGAGTTTCCATTCTCGTGGTCATAGAATGGTTGGGAGGGACCTTCAGAGATCATCTAGTTCAACCCCCCTACTGTGGGCAGGGATGTCCTTCAACTAGATCAGGTTGCAAGTTGAAGTAACTGTAGAAATGAGCTGCAATATATGTTCAGGTCATATTCAAGTAAATGTTTTCCAACCTTCTTTCCAGGTTAGGAGCTCTCACCAGGACGACTGTCGTAACTTTCTCATCGACTTTGCAAAATCAGATCCTGCCCAGGATTTCAGTGGGCAAAAATCTGAACTTTTCAAAGGACTTATTCAGGCATGTAAAAAACAGACCCCAAAGACAGATATAGTTGCTGGTTCTACTGTTGATCAAGCTGTGAACTCAACGTTTGCTGCTTTGCTGTATCTCACTCCAGATTTATATGAGAAGCTTCAAAAATATGGTAACTCTAATATTAGACTATCTTAATAACGAAGACTTAACCATTGTAGGAGGCTGTCTTATAGTTCAGTTGATAAACTTTGAGACATCAGCTTAGTGTGATGATTTTTCAACAGATGTTCTGTATAAAGAGGTCATCATTTAGGTAGACTAGGTAAGCCTTATCTCTAGAGTGTTTTTTTTTATTAGCACATGCTTTTATCTTCATCCAAATATTAATAACCATCATAAACTACTGATTAAGCCTTATTATAAGGATAGAGCCAAAGCAAGTAGTGATGTCCTCTGGGGATTTAAATCAGAACAAGGTGGCTCCCAGGGATCAAGGGTTCTTACCTCTTTTTCCACTCTTATTATAACTTTTTTTAAAAAGCCAGCACCAACTTTTGATATCTGTTTTTAAATGGGGGTGGAGGAGGTGTGAATTACCTCCCAAAATGTTATGCTGTGGAAACTGTCCTAAGCACCCTCCAAATACATTTGGTTTTAATTTAAACCAAAGGTAACATTTTGCTTTTAACTTGCTGAATGTCCCTTGCATTTACAAGGTATATATTTTCAGTAGGTAAAACAACTTTTTCACTTACACCATCCTTCCAGGAAACTTATTTGAAGTATTGGATAATAAGGTGCTACTTGGTTTTGAAGGGTTTTATTTTAGGCTCTCACTCTATCACAATTTTGAAGCTAAACGTTACATTTTGAGCTATGAAGTGAAGGGTAAAAATGATTGACATAAAGACTGACTCAATGACTGAAGTGGTTATTGCCTTTAGTCATTTTCCCTGTGTCTGCCAGTTCATCTAGTTTTCTGAGTAAGATTGAAAACTGGTACCTTAGGAGAATATTAAAGAGAGGATAAGGTATCCATCCTACTGTTATGTTAACAGCTCCATATGTCTGTCTTGCTGGGACAGACTAATTTCAGGACCTGTGTTAACCTGTGCCATGGGAAGTATGTACAAGTGGTGCTGAAAGAGGAAAGGGGAAGAAAAATAAATGGAGGGAGAGGGAAGAGCTTGAATAGGGGTCATTGTCAGGCTAGTTTTGATGAACACTGTTTTATTGGGTCTTCCATTTTTGTAAATTGACCTTGGAAGTTCATTCTGGAAATTTATTGCCTAAAACAAAAAGGAAAAAACCCAAACTGATAAGTTTATAATTGATACATTGATAATAGATAAATGTATCTACAGAGCTTTCAGTTAATACTAAGCATTTCTTGATTATTCTGATACCAGTTTGCATTAGTAATATTTGCATGTACAGGAAGAGGTTTTTATGTTCCATGACTGCAGGCATCAATTTTGGGAAGAGACAACACAGATATTAATAATTTAACTTTGCAAATAACTGTCTCAAGGTGCAGTTTATGTATTTAAGGCATATAATAGTTGGTAGTTTTTATTCCCTGTTTTTCTTACAGGCATAAATCCAAGTTGTGTCTAAGAGCTGAAGGGAAGGCTCTAGCATAATTTTAGTTAAATAGTCAAGTTGTAATGGAGCTGTAAATAAACAGAACTCTTCTTTCTCTCCTTTCCAGTCACCAGTGGGGGCAAGGTGCCTTTGAGTGATGAGTTTGCACAAGTATATTCCCTGGCTGATTCGATTAGAATATGGATGGTAAGATCACTCAGGAGGATGTCTTCTCATGTCTTTTATCTTCATATTTTACAATGCCATGTTAAGGAGTATGATGGAACCAGGTTTTCCTTCAGTGATTTTAGGTCATTTTAGGTCAACTGTTTTCACTTAGGAAGAACACATTCACTTCTAAACTTTGAAATGTAATATTTAAATGCATTCTTACACTCCTTCCCTCTGCCCTAGATGTGTCATTATGAGTATTTAGGACTGAATTTGACTCAGTTAATCAGTTAAATTTGTGTTATTTTTCAGCAAGAATGTGTGCTGTTAATTAGGAGGATTCTTATAAAGCAGTTGGAGTTCTTTTGAGGTATAGCATAGCAAACAGTCTGCCTTGAACATCAGTCTCACAGTACTGCAGTGCTAACAGCTTCAGTTCTGAGATGTTTGCAGCTGGCAAGTACTTGCTAGTTGGATGTCATGATGCTGTTGGAACATCTTATCTCAGAACTAGGTCTATATCTTTTCCTGGGTGGTGGGGGTAAAAGGGAAGCCTTGTTTTTCATGTAGGGCTGACACACATCCAGTCACAAGACAGAGAAGGGTGTGTAGGCCTTAGCCTACAAACCTTGAGCATCTCAATACAAGGCTGTGTTCCCTGCTCTAATAGTGTAGCTACTGCTCTTCTAGGCTACTGGGCTTTTAGTTCTGCAGTAGGGAATAGTAAATATCACCATCTGTTTCTGAGATTAAATTCCTTTAACATGGCATAGTCTTTATACTGCCTTGCTGTATGGATACACAGGGGGAGTAATATTTTAACTATTTTAACATCCTGTCTACAGCTGGAAATGAAGCAGAAATCCCTGATGAGCAGGGGAAATGATACTGAGGAGAAGCAGAACACAGAAGCAAGTGAAGTGAACCCAGAAACTCTTGGTAAGTGTTGCCTTTCTAAATGCATAAGCATTCCAGGTAGTTTACTGAATTGTCAGTCTTGCCTTGTCAGTCTTAGAATTTTACTGGAAAAGGTAGGTTAGCAGCTGGAGCTACTTGGTAATACCCTAAGAGATACAGTAGTGTACATTCCATGAGCCATCTGGCATTTTGCTCAGATGGGGATTTTTTGCAGAAAATAGGGCATGAGAAAATTTTACAGGCAGGGAGTGACCTCTGCCTTAGGTCACCTGGTTCTGAACTTACCTCCATCTATTCTTGTAGATACTTGTTACCACAAGTAACTGATTTTGGAGTAGCAGCTGATTTTTTACTGGAGTAAAATGTGTTCTCCTTGACTACTGTGTGCTTCCTATGGTTCTGTGTGATTAATCAAATACAGCATTTGGAGGCCTAGAATTAAGTGGCTGATGGTGTAATGATCAATATTAGAAGAACAGCAGTATTTTCCAGCTGTCTTGGCTCAGAAGCAACAAGATAAATCACTTTCTTCCTGAGCAGAAGATAGCAAGTTTGGCACTCTGTTGTCATGACTTTAACTCTTCCTTCCAATTTTTATGCTGCAGCAAAACTTTGTATGCAGAAGAGCCTTTTGCTACTCAGTTTTTTGCCTGTAAGAGCCAAGACGAAAGGTTCTGCTTCGGACAGTTTGGAATCCCAAGATACTGATGATCTCCAACACTATGTCAGTGACAAATGCCAAAGAAAAGGTTCTGTTGTGGACACAGGCTTCCAGGCAGCCCACTCATTGTCTTCCACTGGCGAAACTCATCCTGTTCCAAAAGAGGGGGCCCAAGTGACACAGCCTGATATGAAGGTTAAAGGAGCTCCTGATCCCCTCCAAGCAGAAGAAGCATCTGCAGCTCACAGTAGGGCTGTTGAAAATGCAGCTTCACAGCAAGAAGATGTATCATCACCTCCTTCTACTCCCACAAGGAAATCTCAGTTCAGCAGAGGAAGACTAAGGCTGCTGTCTTTCAGATCAATGGAAGAGCCAAGAGCTGTGCCTACTGTGAAGGAGAAATACCCTATCTTGAAAAGCATATTAGACTTTATTAAAGATCAATCACTTTCACATGAAAGGTAAGCAAATAGATACTGCCAATTGTAAAATACAGAAACTTGTCTTCAGACCTCTTCAGATGGAATAAAATATGTTTTAGCTGCAGGATAACATTGGAAATAATTTTGTACATAAATAGTTGTCAGATCTGTGTGTCAAACTTCAGTTATTCACAACCATGTAGGGGGTCAGAGAGAGTGTTATTTCCTTGGATTCAATTTTATGGTGTAGAACTTCAGAATGTGAAAAACAATTACTTTGGTGTTTCTTCTCTTGCTTCCTGAAATCTGTTGGCAGTGGTGTTTTGCTTCTTACTTACAAACAGCAAAGACATGGCATAGCAGTACTAGAAATCCTTGATACCAGAGAGAATATTTGCGCCTCTCATTAAATGACCTGGTATTCTGAAAATATGGATCAAGGGAGAGATTTGTAATGCTCATCTTGTCTATTTTAGGCCCTAAAACTTGGATTGGTGCAGGAAGTGCAGGGTTGTGGTTGAAGCTTTACCATTCCCTCCAAGTGCAAGAATACCACTGAATATACAGCTGAAAAATTAGACACCAAACTCTTCATTAACTAATCAAGTACTTCTTGACTTGTGATTTATTTGTGTGATGTTTTGAAGTCCTCAGAGATGTTGTTTGCTCTTCTCAGTGTCTTAAAGGTTCTTGCTTTGAGAAAATCCCAAGGGCAGAGTATTCTGGAAGTGCTGAAGACAATCCGCCGGTGCCTGGACTCCCTTGGGCAGCCACACTGTTTCCATCCACCGTGTGTACTTTTCCTCTTGGAGCTTCTGGCCTGTCAGAAAGATTTTACAAAGTGAGTCATTACTGAGGCAAATCTCAGCCATGTGTCTTAGTCCTTGTGTTCTCTCAATCATGGGAATTGAAAGCAGTAGGAACTTACTGCTTTTTAATCCGTATGTCTAATAATGGTCTGACCTGAGGATTTGGGTTTCAGACTCCTGTGCACATCTTGCATGATTCACTTTAAAAGAATTTTCTCATTATTTTCAAGGGGAATTCAGTTGCACAGCTGTTGATGCCAGCAGGTATCACGTGGTTGAGTCACAGTGTGGATACCTAGAAAATCTTCACAGTTCCAATCAGATCACAACAAACTCAGCAAAACTGTAGAGTCTTCAGTGACTGCTTTAATTTACATTCCTGTCTAGTTCTAAGTGGGTTTCTCATCCAACAAAGCTGTAGTGATCTAACTTGTCATTTCTTACAAAGCATTAACTCTTTATCAGTTTTGTAAACTTCCTCTTGTACATCCATATAAACCTGTCTGGAGGAAGAACTAACTTCCCAGATTGTTGCATGTTACATCTTGTTAGTCAAGCATTTCCATTACTTTGGATGTCATACCTGACAAATCTGACTGGGGGGAGTGGGATATTCCAGTCCTGTGCCAGAGGTGATGGGCCTGCAGGTCTGTGGTACTGTTGGGTACATGCCAGCTGTAGGGCATGCACATAGGCACACACACAAGAGGCAAGAAGGTCATCTTGATATTATATGCTTCTGCAGTTGTTGTTCTCAGGGAGGAAAGATGGTTTGGAAGGTTTTCCAAGTGCTATGTACAAGTAGAAAAGGACTGTCTCAAAGCAGGAGGTGATGCTGTGCTGTTCTGGTTCATGAATTAGGTCTGATTTTGATCAGAACTCTGCCTACTGGCTTCTCACTGCTCAAGAGCTTTTTATGGTCCTCTTGCAGTGCACTGCTTTCCTTTAAGATCTCAGCTAGATGTTTATAAAGCACCTTTTTGATTTGAAGGAATATATTCCTTTGTGTGTGCCAGAAGAATATTCCCTTTGCCTGTTTTCTCTCTTCACTTCTGCTTTCTGCTATGAGATTCTTTTATTGGAATGTGCCAGACTGCATTTTAAACAAATATGGTGTCCTCCCCACTTGTGGGGCATGTTTAGGAGAATGCCTGTTTGTAAAATCTGCAGAAATCAAGCTATCTAAAATGTAGCAGTGAATTCTAGACTACTAATTTGAGTCTTTAATTTCTAGCTACTTTGGAAACTTGGAAGGCTGTGGTGCTGAGCTACACAAAGAAATTCGAGAGTCCTACTATCAGCTTGTTTTATTCCTGGTGAATTCTGTGAAGGGATTTAGTACCATTAATGACAGGTACAACACATTTCTTGCATTATTTATGTGAGATTTTTTCTTTCTGTTCTCCCTCACCTCTTCCTTTTTAATTTGGTATTTCTTGTTTAATGCCTTAATTAAGTTTGACTATACTTTGCACTGTTACAGAACTGAATAAGGAACCTTGATCTTGTAATCAAAAATACCATCTTCTCTTTTTAATAATACTGTGCAGGAAAGACCAATAAATTTATCAATGTTAAAATATGACTGATGGCATTCTGTGGTTAGAATCCTACAATTTGTTTCTGAAGCTTAGTAGTAAAGTACTAGAAATGGCAAATTTATTGTGGAATACTTTGGCAAGAGTAATGCCCCAGTAAGTACCACAATTCTGCAATCATGGTTTAATGCTAAAGCTCATATTTTGGTAACATTTGGGGTTAGAATTGTTGGGATTTATAGCTGAGTGTCCTGTAGAAATGAGAATATTGTGTCTATGAGGTCCATCTCCCTGCTAAGAACATCCAAGTCCTTTGTTCAAAAGGCTTAAAAGACAGCAAGTTCCTGCAGATACCAAAAAAATGCTGCCCTGCAGAGGAGAGACAAACTCTCTTGCTAATGCTCAGGCTATAACATAAGCCTGTCTCAGCTGAAGCCATTAGGATAGCATCTTTATTTCAAATTCCACTGGCTGTGCTTCTTGCTAACTTGTGTAAGTTCCTGCATTAGTAAGCCAGAGTTTCTGCCAGATAGTTAATTTAATGCAGAGTAAAGCCTGGAAATCAGTGATTGTCTCCCTCTTAATCCCCAAAAGATGCATTTTCAGCTTTAGGTCAGAACAGTCATGTTTTGTTGTCCTGTTTTTTATCTAGATCACTGCTTCCTGCCTTATCATGTGTGCAAACAACTGTCCTTCACCTTCTGGATATGAGCTGGGAACCTAGTGATCTTTCCTTCTTTGTTGAGATCCAGTTACCACATCTCCTTATGGCTACTTCACAAGAAAACATAAGTATTCATGAAAGTGTCATTTGGTGAGTCAGGAAGGATGCAGCTTTCACATGGTATCAGCTCTTGCTATGATTTTTACAAACAAGACTCTTGAACTTTGTGCTGGAACAAGCAATAAAAGTGCTATGAACAAATATGGCAAAATTTTAGCCAGTACCCAAGGGCCTAAATGGAATTATTTGAATTTTTTTTTGCAGCCATTTTTTTGCATTTTACTAGTGCAAATACTAATACAATGTTATTTTTAACCTGATTACTGCTGGAACACACTTGAGTTGTTTAGCAGTGCAGCAGGAGGTGGATCATCCTGTTTCTTGTCTTGATAAACATCAAATGTCACCAACACGTGCGTGTTGTGGCTTTGCAATAGTTGTAATTCTTACACACGAGCAAATGTGAAGGCCAAAAAGCTTTTGAAATGTCTCCTCTGATCTGCCAGCATCACCAAAAGCAGTTTTGAAAGTGTGGATTGTCTGATTTTGCATTATGGGTCCCCCAGATATATTTAAGCAGGGGTCTGTGTGGCCATTTAATAACCGAGTGAACTGGGGTTCTCACAATTCTGTTTTTATTAACATGTTATAGCACTTAGTTCTTTCAAAAAAGCCAACAAATATCCCAAGTCACAGTAGAGGGAAACCTGATTTCATTCCAACTTAATTTTGGGCTTGCTTTTCTTTTAGCCAGTGGAGTGAAGAAGATGAAATTGCAGACTACAAGCAAAACTGTGAGTGGATGGATGAGTGTCAGGATGTCACGTTTGAGACCTGGTATGAAAAGATAGCTCAAGCTGAACCAGAGAAGCAGAGAAAGGTGACCACATGATTTGCTTATTTATCTGCAGAAGGGGTAAATAGGAAACTTTTGAAAGGGTGAAGGAGACAATCTGGCTTAAACTGGTTTTTTTTGTGAGTTGCATCCCTTAAAAAGTCCGCAATGATGAAAAAATCCCTGTCTTTTTTTGGCAAGGGGATGAGGGGGAATGGTTTCAAGCTTTAAGAGGGGAGACATTGGGAAGAAATGCTTTGCTATGAGGCTGGTGAGACACTGGAACAGGTTGCCTAGAGCAGCTGTGGCTGCCCCATCCCTGGCAGTGTCGTAGGGCAGGTTGGATGGGGCTTGGAGCAAAGGGGGCTGGTGGGAGGTGTCCCTGCCCATGCAGGGGGGTTGGAACTAAATGATCTTTAAAGTCCCTTCCAACCCAAACCATCCTGTGATTCTACTTTCTGTATAAAAAGAGCTTTCTCAAAGTAGGAGATCACACTCAAAACTCTCCATTTCTTGCTCTAGATGCACATGTTTGTGGCTCGTTACTGTGACCTGTTAAATGTGGACATATCCTGTGATGGCTGTGATGAAATTGCCCCGTGGCATCGCTACCGCTGCCTGCAGTGCAACGACATGGATCTCTGTAAAACTTGTTTTCTTGGTAAGAACCTTCTAAAAACCCCCTCAAACCTCTATACTCAAAGGCAAAATAGTCCCTTCTATATGATACATGAAGTAAAGTGAAAGATTTTTCCTCTGGATGTTTTAGAAACATCAGGCTGTTTTTTATTCTGAATCTGAATGTGAAATTGGGAAAGATCCTTTATCCAAAAGGATTTACAGGAACATCTTAAAATATTTCTTGGCAGGAGGAGTCAAACCTGAAGGCCATGAGGATGACCATGAAATGGTCAGCATTGAGTATGCCTGTGACCACTGCCAAGGGGTTATTATAGGTCGGAGAATGAACTGCAACGTGTGTGATGACTTTGACCTTTGCTACGGGTGCTACTCTGCAAAGAAGTACTCAGACAGGTATTAAATATATGATTTTGTTCCCCCTCCCCCCTTTCACTGGGCAGAAAAATTACAATTAACAACTTCATTGCAATCAGTCAGTCTCAAGTTGCTTCCTGCAAGGCTTTGTCTGACATCAGAATATTTGGTTGGTGACCTCTGGGGGAACGTAGCAAGTCCAGGACCAGTTCAGCCAAAATTTCTGCAGCTTGGAAACCTGCCCCAACCTCTGCAGTGATTTAGTAGCAATTGTTTTCTGGTCCCTGCTGTGAAAGTTCCAGAAGGAGAGTCAGCCCCACTGAATGACAGGGTAGAAGAAATAAAGAGTGTTGTGGTTGTAATATGTAGGTTTCAGAGCTTGGCACTGATCTGAATGAACTTTTCTGCTCCAGCCCAAGCTCTCCTGACCATTCTGTTAAATGTTATAGTTAATGTGAACTGTGCTCTGTTAAATGGGCACTGCTGAAGTCACTGAGGCTGTGACAGCACTTGAAGGTCTACAGTTTGCAACTGAAGCTGTGGCTGCCCTGTCCCTGGAAGTGTTGAAGGGCAGGTTGGATGGGGCTTGGAGCAACCTGGGCTGCTGGGAGGTGTCCCTGCCCATGCAGGGGGGTTGGAACCGGATGAACTTTAAGTTCCCTTCCAACCCAAACCATCCTGTGATTCTGTGAATGTGTTGGGTTTTTCCTAGTCCAGGTGTTGAGGTACTAACTACACTGGTTATCAAGAAAGCAGCTGCATTTCCAAACCCTGTGCCTTCTTCTTCCAGTCACCTGCCCACCCACAGCATCACGGTGTATCCCATGGTGACCATTCGCATCAGTGACCGACAGAGGCTCATCCAGCCCTACGTCCACAACTACTCCTGGCTGCTCTTTGCAGCTTTGACTCTCTACAGTGCAGATCTGGCAAATGGGGAGGAAGTAGAAGGAGAGAAACTAGATTCCCAGGTCCTCAGTCATGCCAGAGTTCTCCAACACCAGTGCATACAGCTCATTGGAGACTGCCTGATGAAAGCACAGCACGGAAAGGGTGAGTCAGCTCCTCCTTCACCAGAACAATGGTTTCTGGTGTCAGAAAAGGCTGTGATTACTCACTTGGAAGTTTCCAAAAGAAAGGGGAAGCTACTGTGTACTTCACTGGGAATAACTGTTTTATGTAGAAAGCAAATATGTCACTCAGGGTCAATGGAACATGGAAAATAGGGTGCTTGAGAGAATGAATGTTATGCTTTACATAAATACTGAAGACAACTTGGCAACTCTTTGGCTGTTTTGTTTTCCATCTTAGATGTTGTAAAGGGATCAATCAACACAGCTTCATGTCCTGTTACTAACATGTTACTGGCAACTGAAGGGCTTGAAGGAAAACAAGTAACTTGGTGGAAAATGTTTTTTGTTCTGCATTTCTTGGCAAGATTTTTATTAAACTGATTTGTGAGATAAGTTTCTGGGGTTGATATCCCTTTGTCTGGAAATAAGGATTTCTGTGAACTAAGACCACCTACAAAAAAATAGAGTGATACAATGGAGCCCTGTGTTGAATGTATAAAAATTATAACCTTCATGTGAGTTTACTAGTGGTTTTCCTGAGCAGCTCTAATACAGCTGAAAGATCACCAGCCAGTTCTGCTTCATACTCATTGTTTTATCTGTTAGTTTTTAATGTATGGTTTTATGGTATAAGCATTTAAGTGCTCAGAAGATTAAAAGCTAGGACAAATTTCATATACCTTTCATAATTTACACTGTTGGCAGGTATATCTAATACTTTCTTAAATTAATTTATACTTCTACCCTGATGGTGTCTTTGTGAGGAGGAAAATGTCACCACCTGTTCATCACAATGTTATTTAATGGAACTTGATAATTATGGTGGGGAACATCTTTTTGATGGAGTTGATATTCAAAGGAAGTGTGTGAGAGGAAGTTTGCAGTTGTCTTTCCAAATGTTTCAGTTCTGCTTTTTGACTGTCTTGCCACTTAATAGCTTAATACATTTTATAACTTTCTTGCTTTCAGGTCTGAAAAATTTAGCTCTTCTCTGCATGTTACCAGAAGGTGAATCCTTCTCAGAGAATGATGCTGTTTCAGTCAGTCCTCCCACAGATGGTGCTCCAAAAGGTCCTGGAGATACTGGTGATAAAGCTGTGAGGGAAAG